CTTGAACTCTGAGATCCGCCTGCCTCTGCCTCCCCAGTGTTGGAATAAAAGGTATGTGCCACCACGCCTGGCTAACCATAGACTATTCTTCAAATTTTACTAACATCCCATAATTCCCAATTCTAATCAGAAGGGATCAGGATTTCTCAAATACCTTACAGGTAATTCTAATGGGCAGCCAAGGTCTAGAACCACTATTCTAACACTAGGCCAATGGTTTCAGATATGATGGAAAAGAATTATTGCTTTTTTAAATTTTATTTTATTTTTTTTGTCTTTTTGAGACAGGGTCTCCCCGTAGCTCCAGCTTTCCTGGAACTCACTATGTAGACCAGGCTGGCCTTGAACTCACAAGAGATCGGCTTGCCTCTGCCTCCTGAGTTCTGGGATTAAAGGCATGTGCCACCACACCACGTTCAGCCGAATTATTGCTTTTAAAGAACAACTTGGAGTATAGAAAATTTTTATAGGTAAAATGCTATGAATTTGTTAGAAAGGCATTAAAAAGAGAACATGGAAATGTTGAGATATGTCAAAGATATATAATGAGTTACAAAGTGTTCTTTTATATGTTTATAAGGCATCCTTCTCAGAAAAAATGTTAGGGCATCATACTCTATAAACACTTTTATAACATTGCTTAAGGTAAGGGGCATGATGTACTTGTATTTGTTAGATATGTGAATGGGATGTGGAATAGGACTTATTAGCTGTTTGGTTATCATACCATTGCTTTCCTCCACAATTCTCGTATCCTCCCTCCCTCCCTCCCTCCCCCCCTCAGGATTGAAATCTCTAATAAATCTCAAAAATAAATTATTTCTGATAATCAGAAAAATATCTCTGAATTTTAGAAGTTTGGGAAAGGTTTATAAAAGTTTTTTAAAAACTACCTATAGATGAGTAGGGTATACAGAAAGTTAGGTATTATTAAATACAATTTTAAAACAGTATGGTCTAAAAAGATTGTGTTCAAGGCCTAGATTCTAGTTCCTGAGCCAGCATAAACTTCTTCAGGCACAAAATGAAAAAAATTAACAGTTCCCAATGGTTTCTTTCAGGTCTAAGTGATTAGTCTCTCACCAACCACCTTATGTTAATTACAGAGGAAAAGTATTCTAGCTTAAGCTTTTAAAATTTACATTCTGGCCAGGCGTTGTGGCACACGCCTTTAATCCCAGCACTGGGGAGGCAGAGGCAGGTGGATCTTTGTGAGTTTGAAGCCAGCCTGGTCTACATAGTGAGTTCCAGGACAGCTGGGGCTACAGGGAGACCCTGTCTCAAAAAGACAAAAAAACAAAACAAAACCCCCCCACATTCTACAATCTTATTTTCTCTTAACCTATCTAAAGCATCATAGCGTCTCGAAATTGGTATTTTCTCAAGGTACACCTTACAATGGTATCTTCACCCAAAAGGGTGACTAATGGAGACTAGGTTGTTGGATCCTTTTTTTTTTTGGTCTTTTTTGAGACAGGGTCTCTGTCCTGGAACTCACTATGTAGACCAGGCTGGCTTTGAACTCAGAGATCCACCTGCTTCTGCCTCCCGAGTGCTGGGATTAAAGGCGTGTGCCACCATGCCTGGCTAGGTTGTTGAATCTTGAGTGTGGTGAGAATATGTTGGAGTATCAGCTTTCTGCTGCCTTTTATTTTTTAATATTTTATTATTTTTTTAATGTGTATTGCTTGCCTGTAAGTAAGTGCACCCGTGTCATGCAATGCCCTGGGAAGACAGGAGAAGCTGTCAGATCCCCTGGAACTGGAATTATGGACAGTTGTTAGCTGCCATGTGAGTGCTGGGATTCAAACCTGAGTCTTCTGTGAGAACAACCAGTATTCTTAACCACTGAGCCATCTCTCCAGCCACTCTGTTGCCTTTTAAATCACATCCGACGGATATCTTAATACACTCAGGACAGATCACTCCTGGGACTTCCTTCTACATTTTCTTCTAGTTTTTCCTACTCTTCTTTTTGCGTATTACTCAAGATCATGAGACCTCATATAATTCTTATTTTGTTTGTTTTGGTTATGCTTTGATCTCTTCCCCCACAAGATTATACTTTTCTTCGAGGTAAGGATATATTATATTGTCTTGTACATGAGCTAGTATGGTGTTCTGGTACATAAAAGGAGCTTGATAAATGTTTAATTGATTATATCGAAAAGTTTTAATGATTTTTTTATTGCTTTTACCTGTTTAACTTTCGCAGTACACTTTATAATATTTTGACTTTTTAAAAAGTCATTTTATTTTTATTTTATGTGTATGCATGTATTGCCTGCATGTAGGTAAGTGCAACCTTATCGTGCCTGCAGAAGACAGAAAAGACTGTCAGATTCCCTGGAACTGGAGTTACAGACAGTTGTTAGCTGCCATGTGGGTGCTGGGATTGGAACCCAGCTCTTCTGCAAGAACAGTCAGTGTTCTTAACTGCTGAGCTCTCCAGCCCCCATGGCAGTATCCTTTACTTTCTAAACATAGTAATGAGCTTTTTACTTTCAAAGGTTAGAAAGTAGTAAGTTATAAAGCAAGAAAGCAAAAATACACAAATAATAAGGTTAGCTTTTAGTAATAATTGTTTAGAATAACTTTAAATGTGGAGCTGGGCACAGTAGCACATATCTATAATCCCAGCACTCAGGAGCCTGAGGCAGGAGGATTGCAAGTTTGAAACCAGTGAGTTCCAGTGCAGCTTGGGCTATACAGTAAGACCCTGTCTTCAAAAAACAAACCAGAGAGAGAGAGAGAGAGAGAGAGAGAGAGAGAGAGAGAGAGAAGAATATTATAAGGTAGTTTGGGATGTTATCAATTAGATTATCATAAACATATTCAATGGTAGGACACTTGCCTAGCATGTGAGACCCTTTGTTTCAAAACCCAATACTGAAAAAAGCAAAAACAAAAAAATAAGTTAACCAAACTTTTGGACATGTTAAGTGTAATTTTCTAAACTTACATTATTCTGAAGTGATGAACAATATTTAAAGCATTTATTAACTCTCACAAATAAACCCTATGCATGTAACCCAGAAAATTATGCTATTTGAGTATGATATTGGAAAAACTGACTATAGTATTTTGTTTTGTTTTGAGACAGGGTCTGGTCTCCCTTAGCCCCAATTGGCCTGGAACTTGTTTTGTAGACTAGGCTGGTCTTGCTCCCCCAGAGATCCGCCTGTCTCTGCCTCCTAAGTGCTGGGACTAAAAAGCATGCACTACCCCACCCAGCTTAACAATAGTATTTCGGTGAAAGAGAAAATTTCAATTTTGATAGCACAATAAAAGAATTTAAGTACTTAACCTTTGTACTTATAATAAAAACAAAAACATTAATGCCTTTTAAATTACATTTATTTATTGGGGGGAGAGGTACATGCCTGGTGCAAGGGCACAAGAGTGGAGGTCAGAGGACAACTTGTGGGAATGGGTTGCTTCCCTCTGCTACGTGAGTTCTGGACATGGAACTCAGGTAGTCAGGCTAGGTAGCAAGTGTAACCCATTAAATCATTTCACAGGACCACATTATTGCTTTTGATAACAAGTGTTAAAATTGAGAGTGAGATCTAAAATATACTTATAGAGAAGCTGGTCCGTTTCTAGCTTAATAGTTAAGTTTGGCTTTTGACTTATGAGATAGTGCTTTTATAGACTGGTGAGTAGGGACTTACCATACTTGGGGCTCTGGGTTCAATCTGCATCACCCAAAAGAGAAAAGGAGTTGTAAATTAGCGTTTATCCTTACTCCTCTTTTAGGCTATGTTGTAGCTCTAAATTTTTTTCACCTGTAAATTAGTAACTACTTCCTAGATAGGAATTCTAGCTTGTCATTCTGTGTATTAGTAGGAGGCCAGGTTAAATACAACACCACATCTTTAAGTGTGTATTTTTTGAAGTTTATACAGACTGAAGTGTATACCTGCTAGTGGGAGCATTTCTAAGCTTCTGTGTCTTCTATATTTATATATGCATTAATACATACTAATTTTTAGGCACCCAAAGAATATTCTTTCACAAATTTTTGTCTTGTTAGCTGTATAATCAGCTAAAAGCAGCCTGAGAGTTCAAAACTGGCAAATAGGTTAAAATTGATTTCTTACATTTATTCCCCAAAGTACAAATGTATCTAAAATTATAGAAGATCCCAGTTTCTTTTTTTGAGGATCCCAGTTTTTGTAATTACTTCACAGCATTATTAATTTCGAAATAAATTAACATTTTACTGGATGACTATTCTTCAAAATTACTTTTAGACTAATTTTTACATGTTTGCAAATAAGCAAATATCCGATAGCAAAAAGGCATTTAAAACAGCAGGTGAACATTCTGAATGATTTCTAGTTTGAAACATTCTTTTCAATTGAAGTCTTATAAACATTTAAAATTGGTTTCAAAAAGGAAAATTGCCGATAAGGGAAAATATTTTAGAAGAAATTTCAGCAGTAAATTCAACCTCGTTAAAATTCTAATCGAATTAAACATTGACCTTTAAATTACTTACACGGGTGTAAGTATTACTTTTTAAAGTGTGAGTTTAGTTTTAAATATTTGGGGATCCTATAAACAATGCTGACATTTTCGAACTTTTTTTTTTCTTTTCCTGAGCTATGTAAATCTTTGAATTGTACTAAGGACTAGTGTCAAGAAAGGCATTATTTTCAAGATGGATGTTTACGCATGCACAATACTTTGAGAGTTCGAGAGATCTCATCTCTTATTCTTCACTTCTCTTCCCATTTTCAAAATGCAATCTAAATCGTAATTGGAATCCCTTTTCCCAACGTGTAGCAAGCGTTGGTGGCACGCTCGAAAGGATGAAGGCTCTACTTCGTCAGCCATGTGTTTATGAAACCCAGGCGCTTTCCCTAGATCTGCTGCCTGATAATCTCAAACATGGAGGATGCTTCTGATTCTTCACGAGGGGTTGCTCCATTAATTAATAATGTAGCTCTCCCAGGCTCTTCGCCGTCTCTTCCTGTATCAGTGACAGGCTGTAAAAGTCATCGAGTAGCCAATAAAAAGGTAGAAGCGAGAAGTGCAAAGCTCCTCCCCACAGCGCTTCCTCCTTCTGAGCCGAAAGTAGATCAGAAACTTCCCAGGAGCTCGGAGAGGCGGGGAAGTGGCGGTGGGACGCGAGCCCCGCGCGGAGCCGGGCCGTGGCCGCGGGAGGAGCGAGCCGGGGCGGGCCGGGCCCTCGCAGCCTTGGGGAGTGGAGAAGGTGCCGCGGCCCGCACCGCGCTCTCAGGTGAGGGGTCCGGCCGGCGCCGGCGGGGACGACGGGAGGAGCGGGGGAACAAAGCGCGGCGGCGCCCGGGGTCTGCGGCCGGCGGCCCCTGCGGCGTTGGCGGCGGACGGGAGCCGCGCTGGGGGAGGGGGCCGCGGGGCGTCCGCCCATTGTGAGCCGCCCGCGGACGAGCGGAGATGGGGCGCGCCGGGAGCGCCGGGGCCGCGGCGACACTACTTGCTCAACACCCCAGCGGCGGCGGCCGGGCAGGACTGCGCCCCGGGAGTCGGCGTGGCGCGTCAGCCACACAAAAGGCAGCGGAGCCCTCCCCGCGCGGAGCGGCCCACGCCGCCGCGGCTTGCACCTTACCGGCTTTCCTTTCCCTCCAATTTGATAGGGAAGCGGGGCGGCGCACGGCCGGGAGATGCCGCTGCTCCACCGAAAGCCGTTTGTGAGGCAGAAACCGCCCGTGGACCTGCGTCCTGACGAGGAAGTTTTCTACTGTAAAGTCACCAACGAGATCTTTCGCCACTACGAGTAAGGGCCGGCTGCGGCGCGAGGGGTAGCGGGGACGGCCGCCCCCGCGCCCTTTTGTCTGTCTCCTCTTCTCGCCTCAGGCTGGTGGCGGGGCGACTCTAAAGTGACGGGTGGCGGTCGGCCGCCCGGCCTGCCCCTTCCCCGGCCCGCCCAAGACTGCGCCGAGCGGCCGGCGGACCTGCGCCCGGGACCCTGTCCCCCCCGCCGCGGCGACACGCGCTCTGCGGCCGGTTCCGGGATCCCCGCGGTCCCGGCCCGGGTCAGCCGCGAGTGGCTGGCGTCTAGCTGCCGGGAGAGGAGATCCCTGACCCCGAGGGCAGGAAACGGCCGGCCGGGGCTCGGTCTCCTCGGTCGGGAGTGGGTTCTGACGTTGAGGGGTGCCGGGGTAAGGTGGGGACGGGAGTTGAGGCTGGTGCGGGAGGGAGGCGCGGGGCTTGTGCGCGGCGGGGAGGGCCGGGCCGGGCCGGCGGGGGCGTTGGGCCCGGGTCCTCCGCCTGCGGCCTCGCGTCCCGCGCGGCTTGGCCTGGGAGTGAGGGACGCCAGCCGCGCTCTGTCACCGTCTGTTCTTGGTGACTAACTCCCGTCCCCGGGGAACTCGGCGTCTCCGCCCCCCCGGAGACCGGTGAGGAAGGAGTCAGCCGAGCGTGGGGAAGAGAAGTGGGGAGCCCTCAGGGCCCCGGGCGCCCCCTCCTCCCTTTGATGCAGCGGGGGCGTTGGGAGAGGTTAAGACAAGTTCAACTCCAGCCTCGGTCTGTCGCCTCTCTATCCCCGGTGCCCATGTGGGCCGCCTGACATGTGCCACTGCTATTGTTTTGATAAGAACCCGGAGCTGCTGCTGCTGTCGGTTCAGCCCCCGCAGGTTCAGGTCTCTATCGTAGAGACCCCCTAGTCTCTGGGGTATGTTTTAGCGATCCGCAAACAGACTCACAGCCTGAATTGATCTGGAACAGCCCGATCCTCCCTCTTTCTTGTGCTTTATCCTCTACTCAGAATCTCTTTGTGGATTAGAACCGATTGTTAATAGAAACCAAATACATTGCATGTAGGAGGATTTCTGAGTAGGGGGCTTGATCCAGGGGAGCCTTTAGGAAAACTGCACCCGTCTGTGTGGTGAGATTAGAAAAGTCTGTTCCTTTGAGTGTTTAAAACTTACCTCAGGTCCTTAGAAAGGGTTACATGTAAACGTGTTTTATCTAGAGAAGTAGGTAGTACTTTTCATCAAACAGTACTTTTCAGTAGTAGCATAGGACTCACTGGGCTCCTGTACAGACTTGTTTTGTCACTCTTGTAACTTCTTAAGTGGATTTAAGTTAGGTAACTGTACAAAGATGTTTTATTTTAGTACTTTAGTTTTCTTTAGAAGTTTAAACTAAAATCCTTAGTAACAATTCTGATTTTTTTAAAAATTGAATTTAAGAGTGCCAAATAGTAAATAGGCTTAAATCCCAAACTCTTCTCTCCTTTGATCTTTGCAATCTTCTTAAGAGGCTTTTCTCCCACTACTCAGCAGACCAAGTCAGGATTGCAAGTTCAAGGCTAGTCTAGAGAGTGAATTCCAGGTCAGACTGGGTTACAGAGTGAGACCCTGACTTAAAAAACTAACAATGCCCCAACCCAAACAACAACAGAGGCTGTCCTCCCTGTAGAGGGTAAGATAAACTTGACTTTTATCCTTTGTAAATTAGACTTAATGTACTTTGGTTTTTGAGATGAATTACTCTGACCATGGAGAATCTGAACTACTGAAAGATTTTTGGCATTCCAAACCTGTCTCTCTTCCATGAACATAAGGAACTTTATGCTTCATAGACTAGGACGTTAAAATATTTAAAAGTGGGGCTGGAAAGATGGTTCAGCGGTTAAGAACACTGACTTCTTGCAGAAGACCCGGGTTCAAATCCCAGCACTTACATGGCAGCTAACAACTGTCCGTAACTCCAGTTCCAGGGGATCCAACAGCCTGTGTCCTCAGAACTTGCACGACAGGGGTGCACTTACCTACATGCAGGCAATACAAGCATGCACATAAAATAAAAATAATAAAATATTAAATAAAATATTTAAAAGTAACTTGGTATAAGAAACCATTGAAACAAATAAATGTGTGTGTATCCCTCCATATGGATATATAAAATGTATATGCACATACATGTAGATATAATATATGCATAAGTGTGCATAAAAAATATTTAAAAGTAACTTGGCATAAGAAACCCTTAAAGCTGTGTGTGGTGGCACACGCCTTTAATCCCAGCACTCGGGAGGCAGAGACAGGCAGATCTCTGTGAGTTCAAGGCCGGCTTGGTCTACATAGTTTCAGGACAGCTGGGGCTACAGGGAGACCCTGTCTCAAAAAAAGACAAAAAGAAACCCTTAAAACAAAAATGAAGAAATAAATATATGTGTATCCCTCCATATAGGTATATAAAATGTATATGCATATACACATAATATATGCATGAGTGTGCATAAATATACATGCATATATTTAATGATCTGTTGAGTTAAAAAATGATCTGTTGAGTTATAAAATGGGAGAGTTTTAAGAAGCATTAAAAAAAAAAGGAAACCATTTTGTGGGCTGCAGAGATGGTTAAGAGCATTGACTGCTCTTGCGGAGGGTTCAAGTCCTAGCACCCACATAGTAGCTAACAGCTGCCCGTAACTCCAGTTCCAGGGAATTCAATGCCTTTTTCCGATCTCCGGCATTGCACGACACAGGTGCACTTACATACATGCAGGCAATACGCTCATACGCATAAAAATAATAAAAGAAAAATAAAAACCACTTTTATTTTCTTCCCAGTGCTGGAGTTTTGGAAGTTACAGTTTAAGAGAGACAATTGGTTTGTTAACAGATATTTGATAATTTACCCTGAAAAAAATTACATTATGTTGTTATGTATTAATCCTTTTAAGATTTTTGAATTGGCTGTAAAATAGAAGACTTCCATTTAGTTGTATTAAATTTTGAATTATTTTCTCTTTCCCTTAAATGGTAACAAAGACATCTTTCCAAAAACATAGAGTGGCTGGCATATGATGGTCTGGAAAAACTGAAGGAGACCTGATTTACTCATTCCTTAAATTACTGATTGGTTTGTGTAAATTTGATTATCTTTTAAGTATGTTTTTTAAAGAAACTGTATTTGTCTGAATATTTTTCTGTGCTGAATGACTTAGGGTTTTTTGTTTTGCTTTTAATTTCTTAACAGAAATGTCTCTTGTCTTAGTCTCAGAGAGGTTTCCTTCAACTTCATACTCACTTCCCAGCACATCTCTTAACTTACTGGGTAGTAGTTTGTCTGAAACTTTTTCATTGCTAAATAGATTTCTGTCTCTACTTGTTGCAGTCCACTTTTCATCTTTCCAGGCTGCAGCTATCATCCCCTGCTTCTTTTTTTTTTTTTTTTTTTTTTTTTTTTTTTTAAGCCCTGTAGCCCCAGCTACCCTGGAACTCACTATGTAGACCAGGCTGGCTTTGAGCTCACAGAGATCCACCTGTTTCTGCCACCCAAGTTGCTTGGGACTACAGGTGATCGCCACCACACCTGGCCTCATCCCCTGCTTTTACTGATTCCGGTTATGGCTCTGATGTCTCACATTTTGTTTTCTCAAGACCCCAAGTTCTTTAAGACAGAAACTATGACCAAGGTGGATCAGCAGTGATTTTTTTGCAGTATAAATTCCTTTATTTAGTTTGTTGGAACTACATGTTCCTAACTAATTGCTAACTCTTGTTTGACCTGCTTTCAGAAGCAGAGAAAACTCATTAAAAATAGCACATTAACTATAGGTAAATACACAGGTTAAAGCACATAATTTAGTCTCTTAAGTCAATTAAGATTTATGCCATAATTTCGATTGGCTCAGTTTTTGTTTTTGACTGTGGGTCATTAAAAAATGGGACAACTGGGTCTGAATATAAGAAATAGATTTGTTTTTACATCATTTCCTAGTTTGTTGTATTATCTAGTAATCTAATACCTTAAGCTTTTTTTTAGCCATTTGGAATTTGGGATTATATTTGCCATCTTTGATTGAATCTGTACAATTTAAGAATCTCTTCCACATCAACTAGGAGGTAATCAAGATTATGTTTCAGCCTGGCATTCCAGTGAAGATTTGACTAGCTAGAATGTTTTCACTGTTCACCAGCTCGTACTTGTTAATTCAGTTCTTTCATAAATGAGGAAATTGGTTGGGATATAGATTAACTCCAAGATTGAGGTTGGAATCACATATTTAGCAATTGATAGCACTAGAATTTTAATTCATATTGCTAAGGGTCTAGAGTTTATCCTATTTTTAGTGTTTACTCTCATGGTGCTTATATGAAGAATTCTTCCTGTTCCAAAGTTTGCAGAAGTGTGCAGTAAGAAACTAGGAGAGTTACATGGGATTCAAGTTGGCTATCTAGGTCTTTGTTTAGGGAATCATTCTACTGTCAGTTTAGACATTGACCTTTACTACATACATCCTTCAGCAATTAAGCTCTAGATTTTAAGTGAACTTTAAGAATGTTGTTTGTGGGGTTGGAGAGATGGCTCAGTGGTTAATTACATACATGCAGGCAATAATACTCTCCTACACATAAAATAAAAATAATAATAATAAAAGAATGTTGTTTGTAAACCAGACATGGTGACTGCCTTCATTCCCATGCTCCAGATGCAGAGGTGGGCAAATCTCTGAGTTTGAAACCAGTATAGTCTGCTCAGTGAGTTCCAGGCCAGCCACGGCTACACAGTACAGTAAGATCCTGTCAATAAGTAAATAAATACTGTTTGTTTATGGATGGCAGTGTCCTACCCAGTTGACCAGGAGCTTGAGATCAATCCTCTTGCCTCTTGAATGCTGAGATTATAGGCATGTGCCACCACACCTGGTGCCATCAGTTTATAGTAGGATAAAATACTTTTCTTACTGACCAATTCCGACACTGATGAAAGAATATGTGAAATCTAGTTACAATTAAAGGCAGTTTGGTGAGCATGCAG